CTTTCTTTTGAATGACTTTGACACTTTGGAAGAGTGTTGGCCCTTTACTTTACGCAGAACCCCTCCATTTGAGATGGTCACATGATTTCTTATGATCAAAATGAAGTTATTTATTTTTCATAAGTATATTATAGAGGGGAAGCCTGTCCTTTCTTTACATGATATCAGACTATTGTTATTTTCTTAATGATGTTAACTATGGATCATCTATTATTATAGATGTTGTTTTTAAAACATTAGACCAAATAGAAGAGTGAGGAATGTCTATTTCAAGGTTGCTGAAGTGTTTATTATTTTAAAAGTGATTTGCATATATTTATAATCAATACATGTGTGGTTCTTTGCTCTCGTACCTCTTGGGCTGACTGGGCGGGCCCTAGATTCACAGGTTAGACTCTGCCCTCGCTGAACAATCTAGATGGATCAGTGACCCGAGGCAGCTGTCACACTGGCTGTCTTTGCAAGATAAACTTGAGTCATTTGTAGAAAATGGAAGCACCTTGAGGCCAAAATGTTAAGTGAGATAAATCAGACTCGATATATAAATAAAATGAGAAATAAAAGATAGATAATAGAAAAAAAGAAAGAGAAATAAAAGTTGCTGTAATCCAGCATGGGCAAGCTACTTTGACAGTATAATTATCTTAATGTGTTTTCTATTTTGGCCTATTAGTCTGGCTGTTAATCTGTATACATGATAATTAAGTTTATGAGGCTTTCTAAATGAATCAGATGCCAGGAGAATAAAAGGTTAGTGGAGGACAGGGGAACATAAGGAGTGAGATACATTATGTACAGGTACCAATTTCCTGCAGTGAATATAACCATGTACTGCATGCAAACAGGAACTACTAAAATTTTTTTAATTTTAATAAACAAGACAAACCAGCAGAAATAGCCAACTAGCAGATGAGAAGGAAGGCTGTACAGAGTAGCCAAGAACTGAGTGAAAGAGATGGACAACACAAGATGGACAAAGGGGTCTTTTTGAAACACTCAGCGATAAATTAGATTCTAGGTTTCTTACAGCTCCGCTTCTATGACAAATGTTGTCCATAGATTTCTACAAATTTACTGCTGGTAGCCCAAATGGCACTTTTTCGTGCTCTACCCTACAGATCTGTTTTCTGAAATTAAAATGGACCAATAATAATAATAACTATTTGGAAAAAGTAATTTAGTAAAAAGAACCTGGTGGATTGATTTGATTCTATTCCAGTTTTACAAAGCTCAAATGAATGACTGCAAATTAATCTAGACATTAGCACAAACTTTTTCAGGGTACAAGTAGCTAATTACTGAGTCTCCTCCATGGTTCCATGGCCCGAAGAAAATCTCAATTAAAACAGTTCTTAATGCAGTATTAACCTTGCTGATCTCCAGTGTTTGTTTTCCCCTGTTGTGCAGTGTATCTTATTCTTTTATCAGTGTGACCTTAATCACCTGCAGATTCCTCGAGCACTATTGAATACAGTATTCTAAATAACCCAGGACCCAAACCTCCAGTCGTCACACTTGCCTGATTGGGCAAATAGTACAAAATTGGAAGTTCTTTTTCTCATTTGTTAGCCTAATTTAGAGAAGAAGATGTAGGAGTTTTAAAGCAAATTGAAGTTCAAGTAACTTATTTTTCTCAGCAAAAGATAATCTTTAACTTTTCATCATCCAGAAGAAGATATGTACTCTGAAGTAAATCATCTTAAAACTTTCATTTTATCCCTTTTACAAATAATGAAAAAACATGAATAGTGTGATCTTCATTTTTGGTAAATATGTAAAGTATCTCAACCAGCGGTTATAAATTACAGTTAGACAACGTAAGAAATTCAGGTATGCTACTGCACAGTAGAGTAACTACAGATAATAATTATGTTCCATACATTTTGAAAGCCTAGAAGAAGGGACTTTGCAAGCTCTCACCATAAAAAATGGTAACTAAGGAGAGAGATATTTAAATTGATCTAAACATGGCAGAAAGTATACACATATTGAAATACCATGTGCCTACCCTATTAATATATATATATTTATGTTTTTATATATTAGTCAAAGGTAAACTTCTAGGCTTATTTTGTGATTTTATAAAAGGAAAATATGCTTCAGAGTAATAAAAACACATATGCAGGTACACCAATACTTACACACTTATATCCACACACACACATGCACACACATATATGTATTTAACTTTCTAAATCTTGCTTGTATATTTTTACATCTATCCTGTGAAACTTACAAATGAAGTGATGCATGTATCTGTGGGTGATTTCTGTAACATCTGAAAATCTTTAAACAAACAACAGCTTTTTGTAATAGAAAACTAGAGCTATAGTGCGTTATTTTGTCTTCAGGTGAGAGTCAAGGACCATTGGCAGTTGATCACGAAGTTCATGTGATTTATAACGTGCAACTTTGTTTCATCTTGAATTATAATTTTACTTTGGAAATATGAAGCAAGCAAGAAAACAAACAAAATATAATATGTCTTGTGAAAACCAAAAAAGATTTCCCCTAAAGTGCATTATAAATTGTTCCCAGGACCTATGGCATTGTGAATCTGACAGAGATAATCAATCTCTGGGTTGTATTGCATAGAATTAGTAATTAATGCCCACCCTAAAGAGTCAAAGCAAGGAATAAATGAAAGAACAATTTCTATCATAAAAGATAGTTTTGAACAAGCCAGGTGAGGTGGCCCATGCTTCTAATCCTATCCCTTGGGAGGCTGAGGCAGAAAGATTGCCACAGGTTTGAAGCCAGCCTGGGCTATGTAGTGAGTTCAAGTCCAGCCTGAATTATATAACCAGAATCTGTCTCGAAAAGAACCAGCCCCCCAAAAAAATTTGATCATAAAATGATTCTATATGGCAATGGAAAAGATTAGGATTATATCCATACATTACAGGTCAGACTTTTACTTCTTATGTTACTGAGTGTGGTCATTTGTATGCTGTTGTATTTATGATATTGAACTTATTATATGTGTCCGTGCATTAAGCCAGGCATATAATAAACATAGCATCAGTTGCTATTCTCTGTATATTCTTTTCATTTTAGCAGCTTATAAAAGACTCAATAGATTTTGTCAAATGCATTGGTTGTAATGGCCAAATTCTCCAATAGCTTGGATTTGGTGAAAAACACGTAGGTAGTTATTCTCTTTATGCATAAAGTGGTGTTTATAGTGTGATAATTAGTGTTTCTCATTGCTTAAGATTTCTGGAATCACAGTACTGGAATTTTGAACCTTGAGTTGTCAAAATAAAATGAATTAGGACTTGAAAATCCAGCAAGACCCCATCATAGCCAACACAGATTTGCTCTTATCATTATGCTGAAAGAAAGATTCCTCAAGTCACTCTGCAGCCCATGTCATAAGTTTACTAAGGTCTCCCCTTTGTATGAACTATGTTTGATGCAGTTATGCTGGTGAGTTTTATTATGAAGTGCTTCCCCAGGTTTGCCCAGCGAGCTACAGAAGATAAGGCAATTGCGTTGTTAAGTGTCAAGTCAGAATCTGAATTCCAAAACCTATGTGTCCCTAAAGTTTTAGATGAGGCAATGTTGGTGTGTAGTTAATGGTAGAGAGAAGCCCAATGCCTAGCACACTGCCAGGGAGACCGCACACTGGCGCCCCAGTGAATGAGAAGGTGGCAATATGACCACGTGTCTCAAAACCATGAAAGGGTGTATGGCCTTCAACCCAAAATCCTGCTTCTGGGAAATTTCCATTGCTAAAATTATTGGGAAATAATAAAAAGTTTAAGTTTGGGTGCATCTGCCACAATGACACATACAGGTGAAAACAAGGGAGTCCCAAATGTTCAGAGCAGAAATCTGGAACTGCACAGATCTGCAAGTCCAGCTCCTGTGCAGTCCTTGAAGTGAAATCGTGCAGGAATCTTCACTCACATTCAAAGACACCTTCACTATTTTGTCAGAATACTAGGCTATACACATCCGTAACCCTGTCATGGAATTTCTTTGAAAGTTATGTGTATAGACATAGAAATTCATAGGATGGATATTCACCACTAGATTCACAGTGGTTATCTCAGGATGGCAGGATTGTGGGTAATTCTAAATTTCTATTACTGTACTCAGCCTATCGTGGCATGTATTGCTATTGTAACAATAAAACGTCTACATCTCAGTTAAATGTACTATTGAAGCATATCAGTGTATCTTAATTTTCAAATTATACTTGTGAAGTTTTCTATCAAGAAAAATATGTCTTCATCATTGCCTGAGTCAGCTATGAAGTCTCTGAATGTAGAGAATAGTGCTGAGGGCAAAATTTGGCTTTCAGATGGTGTGGTTTTGACTACCACAGCGCTTACAGTCCAGTGGATATCTTTGCTGTGCGTGTATATTAAAGTTAACAATGGAGCTTTGAAAAGACGAGGTATTTTGTCAGGTAATGTGTAGCATTTTAGACTTCGTTTTTAAACTGTGCCCAGAGAGCATACTGCCAGCCTTCACGTTCTGACCCATGTGCTGTGAACAGCAAGGAGATGCTCTCAAATAGCAGGATGTCAATTGGGAGTTCATAATGCCTTTGTCTCAGTCATCAGAGATAATTTGCTCTCTTCGGAAATGTGTTTTGAAAATACAATCTTTATCCTGAAATGCCCCTTTAACAATACAAACAAATAAGAAAGCCGTATGCACTTTCTGGAAACCGATTTGCCTTCCGTGTTGCACTCAGTGGTAAGAGCGTGATTTGTGCCGTCCTACCGCTTGGCATGGGTAGACCCAGCTAGACCCAGCAGCGTGTCTGCAGAAGAGAGAGCTCTGTGTTTTAACTGCCAATTTTCAATCATTGCTTCTTACGGTTCCCACAATACGCGTCTGAAATTTGGTGCTAACGCTGAATGCTTTATTCTGCTCTCATAGACCATTTCTGCAACCCATGAATCATTAAATTCTGTTGCTTTTTATTAGAAAATTGCAATAGCTGTTCTTTACTTACTGAAAGAAATAACTTTTTTATTTTTCAGAGCTTCCATATGGCTGGGAAAAAATCGATGATCCCATATATGGCACTTACTATGTCGAGTAAGTCTCTAAGTGTGATATTAACTTGTTCATATGTTGTGAAGCTGTGTGTATTTCATTTATCAAGTGTGTGTGGCTGACAACCCCTTCCTCTTTCATCTTTTTCTGGAGTACTCACAAAGGCTGTAGCCTCACTTGCTAGCTGTTACTTGCCTTTCTAACTGGCTAATTTGTCATTCTATCCTTTGATTCGCGGTTCTAAAACGCCAATTGAAAAAGTGTGTTTCACTCTGTCCTCTAAATGAATGATAATTAAAGATAGCAAAGTGAATGCCTTTCATTTTGCAATCAAAATGTTGGGAGCTGCCTGGTTGTGCAGAAGAGATTTTATATTAAACTACATTTCAAAACCAATTAAATGAGTCAGCCATACTTTCCAGCTGAATGATAAAATAAAATTTATATTTTTTTTCATGTTTAGGACTCAATTTTAAATCAATAGCATTCTTTTAATAGGTTGGATTGCATGTTACCTATTAGAGCTTGCATTACATTTGTGTATTTATGCTATCACGATATTTATGCCATCATGTATTTATGCTATTTCCAACTAAGTAACCTTTTATTCAAAGCAAAGAACCTATTAGAGATTCAGTTATGTACACATATTTTTTCCCTTAGGAAAAGCAAATGATAGTCACAATTTCAAAATATATATCCATTTTTAAATATATCCATTTTTCTTACAGAATCCACTTCAGATCGAGGAAAAAATTATTTTTATCTACTGTATTAAGTTCCTAACATTATTAAGAACAAAACCCACATATTCCTTATGATAACTATATCACCCAAGCAATGCAGAGCTGAAAAATGCAAGAAGGTCACATTATTTATCAAAGTGTAACCTTGTTTTTCTAACCATATTCTGCCTAACAATGAACTAAAACTAGACAGTCAAGGGGGGTAGATTATTGGTGTTTTCTCTAAGGATATTCAAACAGCTTGACGAGGTGTCAAGCCCTTCTCTGAGCTGGAGGTGTACAGATAGGAAAGACGTGTATTCCTGCTTGCCCTCATGTCTCTCCCACCTGAGCACTTGTGTCAAACGCTGTCACCGCCTCTGTGTTTTGGGGAAGCCCCTCTCCAGGGGCGCAGTGCCCCTTTTCCAGACTCAGCCCAGGTGGACTCAGCTCGTTGGACATGGGCCACCTTCTAACAGTGCCTAATGCCAAGTGTCAGGAAGACCCTCAGTGGGTAGAGAAGGCAGGTAAATACAATAGAGGTATCTCTAATCGTGCAAACAAATGAGAATCATTTGTGAATAGTTGTAAGACCTCTGAGTCCCACTCAATTGCTAATCAATTAAAATACTCAGCAATTTTCATAATAATAATAATACAGCTGCTGTTCCTGGATAAATTTAACACTGCATGTAATAAATAGTTTAGCTTAACTCCCTGGCTCAGCCTGCACTGTGCACAAGCCTGTTAGATCTAAAACCCAAGGTGGTTCCAGATGTAGAAAGAGAACTGAAGTGTGATACACCTTTTCCCTCTTTACTATATGTCCCTGCGGCATCATTGGATGGAAATTTTTTTTTAAAATTTTACAGTCTTTCCTTATCCATATATTGGCAAACTCCATAAAGATCCAGCTGGGAAATATTAGGGGGAGCAGTAGACCTCTGTCACAGCCACTCAGCCGGCCTTTGCAGCTTGAAAACAAGCAGAGGCAGCACTTGCATGAACCAGGAAGGCTGCGTTCAAGTAAAACTTCATTTACAAAGCAGCCAGCTGGCCGCATTTTGTCTGAAAATTCATAGTTTGCTGATCCCTGATGCACTGTAATTCTTGAGAGTGTTCCTCTGTGTCCATAATTTCTTTCACATTTACTTCCAGTGAGGAGATGGTATGTGACTCAGTCTGCCCCAGTCACCTCTCAGAGAAATGAGAAATGCTTCCCACCTTCTTGATCCTGGAGGTATATGTTCATCAATTAAGATCTGTCATCAGTAGACCCAACAGTGAATTATTATATGGAGCATTGGCTTTAGCCTAGAAAAAGTTGTGGTTATCATTAGAATTTGAATAGTTGTCTTTTAATTTGTTTTTGCTTAAATTATACTTCTCTCTATATTTTCAACTCCATTGTCCATGTATTACAGCCATCATCAGAAAGTTGTTCAAAATTCAGTCATGACATGTAATTAGAACGGACTGATGTGCTTCATAATTGTATGATTCCCTCTCATGGGCACAGGAAAATACTGTAAGGTCATATACACAGGTCACAGGGTGTCCAAATAACTCCTTCCTGTGGCATCAGGCTCCACCATTTGCCATGGGTTTTAATCACATTCCAGCAGCCCACAGAGTCTGCCAGTGCCAGTCACGAGGTGTGAGAGCACACTGTACCATGGTGAAGACCAAGTTACAAACACGCAGATAATTCAAACTTAAAGATAAGCTTAAATTGAATATTTTCCCCTAATATTTCTCAGAAACATCCTTTAGGAAAAATCCACCCACATCACTAAACCACTTCCATTTATTCTGTATAATGTATGATTATTTGAAATGAGGTCTATCTTCTGTAACAGCTAGGACAATTTGTCAAGAATTTTAACTACAATACACTGATCCTCATAGTTTATTCAATTTATTGTGTCTCTCATTTCCAATCTGCTCTTATTCCTTAAATATGTTTGTTATGACTAGTAGCCCTATCTATGGAATTTATTCGAATCTATATGTAAATAGAATGGTTAATCATTACTTTCAATCCGTTGGGTATTTCAGTTGAAAAAAATTTTTTGTAGGGAAAAATAATCGATTTCTAGTTTGTTATCATCTTTTCCAATATAGATACAAAAACTATAAAATACTAATTGGCTACAATGTTCATAATTGTAATGATAGCATTAATGTCAGTATCTTACAAAATCATGTATTTTATGTCTAATGTTGATATTTAGTTAATGAAACAAAGTACAGTCATCCTTATCATCAATCTCTGGATGCGAAAATCTTGGATTCACTAATATTATTGGCAGCAGGCAGGGCATGGTCCTTTCTTCTGTTGGATTGCATACCCACCCACACACTTGGGCCGTGGGGCTGATCAGAGTATGAGCAGCATGCTTCCTGCCCCACCAGCAGCCAGGAACACCTGTGGGCTCAGCACTGAGCACCCACTCGAGGTGAAGGACAGGACAGCCCCCTTCAAACCAATCCACACCTAGGAGCACACCTGGGGCCCTGTCACCAGCCCAGCAGACCAGATGGCAGTCAGCACTGTGCTTCTGGCTCAGCAACACATACACACCTTTCTTCTGTCTGCCCCACACAGACAGGTAGGAATCTCAGACTCAACAGCAGATGAAATCCCAGAGTCTAGGCGGGCCAGGTTTTGATCATCTGACCTCACCCTGCTGTGCTGCACTTCTGTTCTCTGCAAATTCACTTTCAAGATTGTAAACTGGAGTATCTTCAAGCACCAGAGAGACCCAAGGAAAGCTCGTCAGGATGCCACCAAAATACTTAGTATTTAGTCCTCAGACTGCCTGACCGGGGCTGAGCTCTCAGCAGGCTTGGCTGCATGGATAGCTTTCTCTGTGGTGAGAATGAAGTAAGTTTCCTTAAATTCACAGAGGAGCAGACCCTGGCTAATAAAGTTGAGGAACTCACCCACCGTCACGCATTCTCGCAACAAAGGGCTGAAATTCAGATCTAGATCATCTGGTGGCTGAGCCCAGACTCTGAATTCTCATCCAAAATGCTCCCATCAATTTAGCAAGGATGTATAATCCAGGGTGGGTTAAGAAGGCATTGAGGCTCCCTGCTTTAGAGGAACAAGGACTCTCTCAACATTTCTGCCCTTCACACAGGTGTCCAGCAGGTTGGCCAGCTTCAGAAGGCCGTGCTGCCCTCACAGCCCAGGGAGATGAGCTTTGGCCCAAACAATGTGGGCCACCATGTTTATATGCCCATGACTTTAGGGTGATTCTGGGCGCCATGGCCACTGGAAATAAGACCTGAAAGAAGAGAAGTACTTCTTGGGTCAACCTAACAATGGGAACAATAGCTGAGCATGGTGGCACATGCCTGTAATCCCAGCACTCAGGACACTGAGGCCAGCCTGGGCTACATAGTGAGTTCAAGGCCAGCCTGAACTACACAGTGAAATCCTGTGTCAAAACAAACAAAATCACAGGGCATGGGCCCCTGTTTGGAGGAGCTGATGGCTGCATAGCTGTGCTTCGGGGACTGGAGACCCTATCACTATCTTTTCTCAATTTGTCTCCTGCAGGGCAGGTAAACCAAGTTTTTCCTCCTTGTAGCAGCAGAAAGAATTTAGCCCAGTTTTTCTTGGCAGACACCAAATCCCTGCTACCGCAGCACTTAGCAATGTATTAAGAAGTCCTAAAGCTGCTAACTAGAAATGTAACTGTCACCGTTCATAAGGAAAGGAAACATTTTCTAATGCAAAAAGAAAAAAAGTGCAAAATGTAGAGTTGAACAGCTGTGACTTTTCTACAAATGTGGTTTTCTCTCCTCTTTTGTGAAATTATGTCTGCTGGGTACATTTTGGTTTTAATGGCAGTTACATAATTTGCTTAACTAGCTAATCCAGGAGACACAATTTCCCGGGACAGCTTTTATGCCAGGCTGATTTCTCTGGTACAGAAAGAGAAGCGGACCGTGGAACCAGAGTTAGAATGATAGGAGAGACTGACAGATGTGATTTTCCTGTAAAGGTTTTATAACTTTTTTCCTGGAATGTCACACATCTGCTGCTCTAAAACATGCTTGTGTAGAGTTCCAGAGAGTATGAGAAGTGCTGTATAATGTCTTCAATGTGTCCACCACTGAGTATAAAAGGAAAATCAGATACATTCCATAGTTAATGGTGCACATTTGTCATGATATAGCAGGCCGGGAGCACTGTGATCTAGCAAGCTGGAACTCCATGCCTTTGAGTTTCTAAATGTTCCAAGAAAAAAAATTCCCTAAGTTAGACTTCTTTAAAAGTCAGGACACATGCAAACCATTTTCAGT